TTGAATTTTCCCCCCCCCCCCCCTCCATCCCCCTCTTCACCCCCTCCTGACAACGTGTAAAAACAACGGCACGCGTGCGTCAAGGTCGTCCATACGAGAACCATAAACAATTCGAGTTGAATTTCACAAAATAATTTGAATCACTTGCAAGAAGGAATGCCGGTTCAATAATTAATGAAAAAATCACTCACTTTTTTCTGTTGTTTCTCCCATGCTGGATCGAGTAGACCCTCACGTTCCCACTCCTCCTCGGGCTCCATGTAGCCGTCACCATAAGCCTCCATGTCGTTCATCCTCGTATTACAATAATTTTAATTAATCACCTCGAATAACTCGTTCACCTTTCAGCAGAAAAAAAAAACCAAAAACACCGTGACACACAATACTTCAAACGTGATTATCAAACAAATTCCCCAATCATGTGATCAGCTTAGAGAATAAATGAAAAAAAAAAAAAGATTGTAACGGCGTCTCTTTAAATGCACGTATGCCAGTGATGGGTGTACACGATTCTGAACAACGTGACAAGGGGGCACACGTCCCACCCTGGGGATGGGGTTGTGGAGAGGACTCGATTATCGGGACGATTGAATTGAGATGAGAATTTTTTTTTTTTTAGAAAGAACACGTACCCGCCAAGCCCAATGTTAAACCGTTCGTCGTTCTTTCCCTCGCACTGACCCCTCTGCCACGAGTCTGACACACGATTTGCTGGTCGACGAGGTACGGAGACACTGCTTTCCCCTTCTACCCCCCCCCCCCCCCNCTCCGCTGCGCGTCCCCTACTCGCGGTTTTTGCAGGGTTTTTTAATTTTTTTAAAATGGATTTTGTGCCGAATGGAGGCTTTGTAATCGTTCAATTTGGAGTTTATTTGTTGAGTATGTGTGGGACGAAGTTTTTGTTCAATTGTTTGTTAATTAATTGATGGAATTTAATTAATTTAATTAATTAAATGGGTTTTACTGGAGGCATTACTGAGTCCCATTCATTGATTTTGTAATGAAAAATCAATTCAGTTTAATTATTAATTAAAAAGTAATCAGAATTCAAGTTTTTCTGTCAATGACCTCAAATTTGATAACGAAGAGTCGTTTTGGCTTCGTTATTAATTATGAAGGTGATTAGAAGTTGATGTTTACATTTACCGTTTATGTGATAGTAAAATAGGGTTCATGATTTTTTAATTTCCGACGATGTCTGTGATAATGATATTATGAGAGACCTTTTTCATTTATCAATAGTATGGTTATGAGATAGTATAATGGTTTTTAGATTCAAAAAAAGTTGAATAAAGTATTTTTGATTGTCAATGGTCAGGTTTTGAACATTTTGTCAAGTTTCACAATAGAATTTAATTCATGAAAATCGCACAGGAGATATTGATGATTTACGAAATTTCGTTTTATCTCCCCTTTCCATAGATTATCAACAGTTCTCTTTATCTATTCTGGAAATAACCATTCTTCTTATATTTCAAATGAAAAAGTTGGAAATGTTTTAGTTTTATGAAAATCTGGATTTCTTAATCATGTCTTTTGCCGGTGCTTTGGGCTCTTTTTTGGGTTTTGATTAAATTCATTTTTTCGGAGCACCATAAATTCGAATGTTTTTCGGAGTTGCTCCGAAATGTAATGTAAGGGTGACGGCATTAAAACTGACTGCAATGATCGATATTGTTAAAACAAATGCTACAATTTGAATACATCAGGTTTCATGTCCAAAAAATTGAATAATTTTACTCTACTGTTCTTGAGTTATTAACAATTGAAGGCGTTCCCTTCCCTTTTAACACATTCTATTCTACTGCGAATAAAATTCTGCGCGGAAAAAACTTTTTTTTTCATCCTTGGAATATATCTCCTTTTCATCTTTCAAATGAAAAAGTTGGAAATATCTGAGTTTGATGAAAACCTATATTATTGCATCATGTTATTTCCAGGTGCGTTGGACCCCATAACTCTGGCTCTCTTTGTTACTGTCTCTTTTGATCGGTTTTGTTTAGGTTCGTTTTTTCGGAGCACTATAAGTTTAAATGGACCGTCCGCAACACGTCCTAGGGCACGGGGTTGATTGAAATTGCTCCGAAATGTAGAGTAAAGGTGAATAGGGTATTTTTGTAAAACGGTACGTTTTGAGCGAATCATGTTTTATTTTGAAGCTTAAACAAAGATGTAAAATGAAAAAAATCGAGCAATTTCATTCTACTGTTCTTGACTTATTGACAATTGAAGACGTTCCATTTTCTTTTAACGTTCTTTTCTTTTTCGTTTCATTTTCTTTTATTCTATTCTACTGTGCAAATCAAATTTTACGCCGAATCAAAAATTTTTTTGATTCTTGAAATATATCTCCTTTTTATCTTCAAATAAATAAAAAAAAAATGAAAATTTGAAATTTTGTGAGTTCCATAAAAATCTGTATCATGTTATTTCCGGGCGCATTGAGCCATAAGGCCCATAACACAGTCTCATTTGTTGGGGTTTGTTTGTTGATCGCCCGCAGGTTTCATTTTGAAGCTTAAAAAAAACTGGAAAATGGCAACAAATCGAGCAATTTTACTCTACTGTTCTCGAGCTATTGACAATTGAAGACGCTTCACTCTCCCTCCACGTATTCTATTCTACTGTGCAAATAAAATTTTGCGCGTACTAACCTCTTGCTTTCTTATGGGGGAGTCGGAACGAGAATAAAAGGAATGCCCCTTGAGATTCGGACGGCGTGGTTGAATCAACCGTTCGAAAATAGTTGAGACCGGTCTTAGTTTTTCTCTCGGTCCTCCCCGTTGTACGTTTCACCCACGCGAGACGGAAATAAACTACCACGTAACAGCGATATTAAGTATTACGTGTGAATATGATTTTTCGGGGGGTATGTTAAGACACCGGCGAGATAATTTCTATTATCCCCTCGCGTTTTTCATCCCCACCACATGCCCCGGCTTTTTTTTTAATCCCATGTATTCGTGAATCTAGATGGCCGAGTCGGTTTTGTCAATTAAAAGTCCCTAGGACCGAAGAATCTAGTGATTCATTTTGTTTTGTTGTCGGTCTGGCGATTCTAGGGAGAAACTCGCGCGACCAATGGGCGGCGAGGTTGTGTGAATGCGGGAAACCATTCGAAATTTTAAATTCAGGATTCATAATTTTTTAAATAAAAGTCTAGGATTCAAAAAATCTTGTAACTTATTTTATTCTTTTGCCAGTCTGGAGATTCAAAATTTGAAATTCATGATTCCTGATTTTTTTTCATTCAATTTCTTTCTTTACTTATTAAGTCTTTTTTATTTAGTGAAATTTTTAATGAATTTTCACGTAAATCTGTGTGATGCTGTGAACTATATTGAATTAAACGTTCCTAGGATCAAAAATCTAGTAATTTATTTCGTTTTATTCTCGATCTAGAGATTTTCTAGAGGAAACTGGCGTGACCAATGAGCCTTAAGGTTCTGCACACGCGCGAAACCATTCGAAATCCCAAATTCATGATTCTCAATTTTCCTTAAAACTCCCTAGACTGATAAAAATCTAGTAACTTATTTCATTCCGTTGTCAGTCTGGTAATTCCGGGGAAAAACTGCGCCCGACGAATGAGCAACAAGGTCCCGCGCACGCGGGAAACCGTTCGAAATTTGAAATCCCCGATTTATCATTTATTTTTTCGACTTTATTTCCTTGAACGAAATTTTCATTGATCGCTCTTAATGTCGAAGAGTTGTTTAAAGGATAGACCTTGATAAATGATAATAATTATTTTTTTTATTATCGAGTGATTACGTTTCTTCACAACTTGACACCAAATGATACCGCAACGATAAGCTCAAATTACATTTGGGGGGCGTTTGAAAAAGCTGCGTCAATGTTCTCCATGACGAGAGTCAGTCGGCTATTTGCCACGCGAATTGAATGATGCATAAGACAGTTGTTTTTATCGTCACGGCCATCAGCCTGTGGAGATGCTCCTCCGCACACTTGGGCTGCAAGGACATTGAGTCACATTCACCTGCACTGAGACTCAAGAGACATCTCTTCTGTGATTATGACAAGGATATTCTGCCGACAAAGGGCAAGGATCACAATGTTTTCATTGAGGTATCGCTCCTCCCTGTGTCAGTCGAAATGGTGAATACTTTCTCAGTAATTACCTACAATTGATGTGAATATTTTCTAATGAATTTTATCCGCCCTTGGTAGAATGAACATTCAGGGACACTTGATTTCCACACGTGGTTGATTATGGTGAGTAAAATTCATCTTGTTTGTGGATTTAAGAATGACAGGATTATTTATACAGAACTGGGAAGATATTCATCTCACATGGACTCCATCAGATTTCGAGGGTGTCAATACGACATACGTCAAGAGCGATGACATATGGATTCCAGACTTCACAGTCTTCAATTCGTAATTATTCCATTAGTTTCATAAAGTTATGATGCCGTTTGAACGACTCATCTCTCATTTGAAACCATAAAAAACTGCCTACCGACAACTAAAAACTATTTATTTTTCCCCTAATGAGTAAAAGTTCAAATGAATGAATTTGTTAATTTCATGAATTTGAAAGAGGAGACTTCGCAAAAGATCAGACAGGACTTCCGTCCACCGACTGCCACCTGCAGTCAGACGGAAAGCTCCAGTGTGCAGCAGCAAGAGTCTTCACGACTCACTGCCCAACAGATTTCACAAATTGGCCGTATGACAAACACAACTGCACTCTGCACTTTGGCTCCTGGATTCATTACGGAACAAACGTCAACTTGACATTCGGATACGTGAGTGAACAGCTCAGTACCTCATACAGAGACCAATTCAATTAGACCCTAGTTTCAATAACGATTTCTTCAAAGATTTACATGGCCGAGCTCCGGGAAAATCGTGTGTGGGATGTGGAAATGAGCAATTTGACGAGCTACTCGGAGATGTACGATAGATCATGGGACAATATGTTCTTTCTGCACGTTGGATTGACCAGAAATCCGATGAGAGGGGGCATGGCGTATGTTGCCCCTGCCGTTGGTAATTGTCCTCATCTGATTCATCAAAAGAATTTTTCATGTCACTGTTTGTTAAGTGACGTTTTACGCACAATTTCCGTGCGCCAAACGACACTTTCCACACGTGATAAAAAATAGGGTTCGACACTCGTGGAAGAAGCGCTTTTTGACCTGTGGAAGGCACTCGTATCGAAATATGCGATTTGCTCACTCGCATCGAAATGTATTTTTCATCACTTGTGCGAAAAATGGAATTTTGCACACATTGTGATGAAAAATAGGGTTCAACACTTGTGGGAAAAGTATTCTTTTATGACACTAGGCTCGATAAACCGCGATTATAACCTTGCTTCGCTCGGTTAGATTGCGGTTTTCGGGCCCAGTGACATAAAATATATTTTCATCACGCTGTGTGTAAAGTGACATTTTACGCACGCTCCGCGTACGCAAAACCCCACTTCCCACACATTGTGATGAAAAATAGGGTTCGATACTCGCGGGAAAAGTGTTTTTAGACTCGTGGGATTATATCACTCGCCTTCGGCTCCTTCTATAAACCGCCCCCACGAGCCCAAAAACACTTTCCCGCAATCGTATCGAAATATGCTATATCTGACTCATTTGATTATAATCCTGGCCTTCAGCTCGGACTATAAAGTCACATTCGTCAGATAATACTTTTATCGCCCGATGACACAATTCGCTATTACGCACTCGTATTGAAATATACTATTTTGTAACATCGGCCTGAAAAGTTCACTTTTCCGGGCGGTTTAGCGTGCGTAAAATGCTAATTTTTAAAAAATAAAATGGGTGGAAAATTAACATTTAACGCGTAACACACACTATCTTTTGCAGAATAAAGTATTTATTACGCACAACGTGCGTAAAATGTTGATTTTCCACACTTTTTTTTTAAATTAACATTTTACGCACGTCGTGTGGAATAAATACTTTATTTTATAAAAAATAGTGTGTTACGCGTGTGTGCGAAAAACTGCAACTTTACGCACTAGTAACACAATACTATATTTCGATACGAGTGCGCAAAAGCGTTTTGACCCCCAGAAGGTCTGTAAAAGAACACTTTTCCCACGAGTGTCGAACCCTATTTTCCATCGTGATGTGTGGAACGTGGGATTTTACGTAAAATTTCACTTAAAGCACAAGGGATGAAATAGTAATTGTGTCACAAGTGCGTAAAGGACAACTTTTCGCACGCACGAGTAACACATTGCTATATTGTGCTACTGGTGCGTCAAGTGGCGCTAAAACTAACACTTTAGGGGCGCTGAATGCCCACGTACATGTGGAAAAGTAGAACTTTATGGACTTGTAACATAATATACTAATTTACAATGATCTCATCTTCTATTTTCGCTTTATGACGTTAGTCATCATGATGATTACTCTGACGATCCTCTGGCTGGACTCTCGATCAGTAGAAAGGATAGCTATTTCCGGTGTGACTTTCATCGCGCATATACTCCTCGTATTAGACCTTCACTGGTCATTACCTGCATCTGGCAGTCCTAACATCCCAAAAATTTGTAAGTGAAAAATTAATTTTCCTGAATTGTCACTATTTCCGGCGATTTGAACGAGTCAAATCTCATTTTCGAGTCTTCACGGAAATATTCAATAAAAATTACATATCTTTTCCGTAATTCCGGAGCAAAATGTGGTTGTAGGAAATTTTACGGAACTGTCACGGAATTTTTTCAGGGCGTTCCGTAATTTTTATCTGAGTCACCTGGGAAAAATTACGATACCGTCACTTGAATTTTCTAAGTCGATTCCGTAATCGGTGAGCGAACTGTGAGTTCCGTAATTTTTACTGAACATTTCTCTCCGTGTTGAAAAAAAGTTCTAAGTGAAATAAAAATCGTTGAATTCGACTCTGCGGGTCCCGAGCTATTCCCGAAGTTGCAGCGTTGAAACTAATTGAAATTTCATGGACAGTTGACTAGTAATTTTCCGTAGAGTGACATTTCCTTCCTTTAGAGGAGATTACGCGGAATCTCCAACTATTTGCCTGAATTTTCCTGATTTCTATGAATTTTCATGGAATAATTAACCTGTGATTTGCAGTTTTCTTTGATTTTTCCCTGAAATTTGGAATTTTTAATGACGAAATTCCTTGAAATTCCTATGAAATTAAAATATGATAAAAATTAAAGATTTTGATATGATAAAAAATAAAAAATAAATCAACTCAATTAAAAAGTGGCTCAGAAATTGCGGCCAAAATTTGTTAAAGGTCTATTCCTCCAACAGTGATTTTCTACGAAATCTCCCTGATACTCTCCACCTGCATCCTGGTGTTGACGAGTTTCCTCCGGAAAATTCACTCCCTGAGCTCGCCAGCCCCGGCCGCAGTGATAATCATGACTTCTACCGTTCTTAATTCCCCGATTGGTCGCCTTATGAATAGCGAAGGGACATTGAAGAATGAGGTGACCCTCGAGGACGGAGAGAACGATCGTTCGGTGACGAAACCCAATAAAACTTGGCAGGAGTGTGCGATCGTCTTCGAGTGGCTGGCTCTCATTATTTTCACCATTACTTACTTTATTCTACTTGCTGTACTACTGCCGATGGCTCCAGCGCATCCTGTGAATCGTTACAATGGATTTTGAAGTCGAACATTAGATTTAACATTGAGATTTAAAGTTAAACACCGAGTTAATTATAATAAATGTTTTTGGAATATCGATTCGACTGGAAATTATTCACACATTGATATTTACACATTTCAACTATTGAACTTATGAATGAATAAAAAATGATGAAAAATTGTGATGACGAGGGACTATTGATGAATTACTTGATCTGTGAACTAGAATAATAAAGTAGGTGGAAGGACACAAGGTCTTGGGAGGGGCGTAAATTGCATAAACATATTGAGAATCTCGAATTTCATGCGAGGGGCGTTTTATACGGTCTCAGCCCACCTACGCTTCCATCAGTTCTCTAGACGCAGTTAACTAGTTAACATCATGAGTGCATTGAGGCTGATTACCCTCATAGTCATTTACGTCAGTGGATTTGTATCCACCGATGAAGATATTTTTGAATTCAACTGCAAAATAATTGAGGATGGAACGCCCCTTTACAAGCTCAAAAGGCACCTCTTCTGTGATTACGATCCGGCAATCAGGCCTGGACATGGTGCCAAAAATGCAACTTCTGTCGAAGTCACGATCTTTCCGAAATACGTGCAATTCGTAGGTAGAATGAATACTTGGCCTGCCAACTGCCGGGTTTTCCTCATTTTCAAAATTTATCTGTCTGCAGAGGAAGTGGAGTGCTAGTATGGAGATGAACAGCTGGATTTTTATCGTGAGTCTTTCATATTGATGAAAATGATAACGAACACGGAGAGGAAAACAAACACGTTGTCAAACAAGTCTTGTTTAGGCCAACAGAATCGCTAGTTGAAAATTGACAAAAAAGAATTTGTTTGGTTCGAATTTGAAAGTCTCAAACATGAATTATTGTTCTGCTTTCGACAGCAACGAAATATTTGGCTCAAGAGGCGGATAATTCACACCAGACGGTGCCTTTTCAGGATGAAAATATCTCATGTAGAGGGAAATTTATCAACAAATATTTTATCCCTAAGTTACAAGATTGCTATCATATCATTATTATTGTTTCATTTAAGGGTTCATTTATGGTCTGTGATTATTAGACAGCCGAAACGAAAAAGTACTATCCCTTGTTTCGCATAAAACAAAGATTTTTCGGGAGCGAAGTACGTATGGGAGTATCGAATAACTAAGGAGTAGTGCTAGAAATTACATTTCTTGCGCGTACAGAGAATGCAATTTTTTTTCAACTACTAAATCCACTTTTGCGACAAAAATTTTTCATTCCACCGCACTCTCTGCATGTTTGGCACAAAAAAATCCTTTTTTGATAATTTTCAAAAAACTATTTTCTTGGCACAAGTAAGACTTGTTTGAGAACTTTGTCGTTTTTCTCTCAGTGAAGAGTTGCATTATTATCAGATTGATCTTGGCTGCATGCAAGTACGTCGAGCTAGTCTGCGCTGAGAGTAAACAATATATTTTTTCCTAAGCAAGTCGTGTTTGACCCAGAAAAATCGTAAGTTAAAAATGACCAAAACAGTGAATAAATCATAGGGTCTCGCCCTGACCGTTTGAAGACTGTTCTGCGATGAAAAATTTTTGTTGCAAAAATAGATTTAGTTGTTCGAGATTATTTTTATGTGAGATGAATTCTTAAATGAAATGACAATGATGATATGGTAGTAGTCTTGCAACTCAGGGACAAAATAGGTCTTGATAAACTTCTTCTTCTTTTCTCTGAGTGTTCTTCGTTTAATTTTGTTGAACGCAGGAGGTGTACGATCCCTTTTTAACTTGGATTCCACAAGAGCACGATGGCATAAAATTTTTGTCTGTTAGAAGGAGCGAAATTTGGACGCCAGAATTGTACACTATCAATCCGTGAGCATCAGTTTATTCATGATTTATGCGTTGATATATCTGATTGACGTAAAAATAATAATAGGAGCCGTGGAGATATGTCAGGAATTCCCGATGGAAACTGCAAATTATCGTACGACGGTGAAGTTCAGTGTGTCGCATCAGTGAAGTACATCATACCCTGTGTTTCCGATTACACTCACTGGCCTTGGGACATTCATAACTGCACGCTGAAGATGGGTGCATGGGCCTACTCCGATGAGGACATAGTATTCGGCAGTGACACTGGGATTGTCATAGATCATTATCGACGCATTGCAGAATGGAAGGTCTCTCTCCCTATGATGGGGATAATAAAAGAGAAATCCAAGTTATCTAGTAATGCTACTTTTCCAAGTTTCGCGGTGTCGGTTCTGCTGACGAGGACACAAACAGCTTTGAAGAGTGTTTTCGTCTCTCCAGTGATAAGTAACCATTCATTCTCTCTTTTTGGCCTCTCCGTTTGCTCCTGAGTAGGTGCGAAACGATTTTTCAATGTACTTTATTCAAGAGGAAATTATTTTTTATTCAGTCTTGACTGCGGTGACTCTGACTATCCTGTGGCTGAGACCAGGATCCACTGAACGTCTCATATTATCCTGTTTTAATCTCTTGGGCCATATGGTGGTTATTCGGCATATTCACTATAGCGTACCCAATACTGGAAATGATGTCCCCAATATCCGTGAGTTTACACAGAGAAAAGTGAGGTAAAGTGAACCTCCTTGAATCATCAATTTCTCTCGTTTTGAAGCCTGAAAAAATACCTGCAAAGTGGATAAAGAAATTGTTGAATTTCACTCTGCTGATCTCGAGTCATTGATGACTACAAACGGTCCATTTTACCCCTCTCCCATCTATGTAGGAATCTCTTAAATTTCCCCTACGAATTTTTCAATCTCTTGATTTATGGAATTTTTAGTGATCTTCTACAACAACTCCCTCATCCTCTCGTCGTTGGTATTGATGTTAACCTGCTGGCTCTACAAACTCCTAGAGTGGAAACGGGAAGTGCCCCTGTGGCTGGCCTCACAAGTCTCAGTCGTCCTCACGAGTAAAGTCGGACAAGTACTGTCGATCAATGCCATGGATCCTAAAGGAACGGCGTTACTCGAAGATGATGCTGATGACAACAGCGGTCTAGTCGATTCTCAGACGAAGAAATCCAACTGGGAGAATGTTGTTACTGTTATTGGATGGCTCTTACTATTCAGCTTTGGTTTTATTTATTTCGTTATGTCTCTTGCTCTACTTTGTTGAGAATTTAGGAATATTTGATTAATTGCACCTTTTGAATGAAACTCGGCAGATGAGTCCTATCGTCCCTGCGCTCTTGCTGATCCCTGGCTATTTTACAATAAATTTTTCTGGAAATATCAATTTCTTTGGAAATTATCCATAACATTTGATCAATGAGAGTGGGGCGTAAATTACATAAACAGATCTACAAGCTCAAATTGCAAATGAGGGGCGTCTGATACGGTCTCAGCCCACCTACGCTCCCATCAGTTGTCTAGTTGCACTTAAGTTAACATCATGAAGGCACTACGGCTGACTACGCTCATAGTAATCTACGTAATTCAATTTGTATCTGGTGAAGACAATTCTTTCGAATTCAACTGCAAAATAATTGAGGATGGAACTCCCCTTTACAAGCTGAAGAGGCATCTCTTCTGCGATTACGACCCTGGAATCAGGCCTGGACATGAATCCAAAAACAACACTGTTATCGACACTACGATTATCCCGAGAAAAATTACATTCGTATGTACAATGAATTCTCTTTCTCTCAATCAGCGGGTTATCCTCTTTTTTAGAATTTATCTGTCTGTAGAACGAGGATAGTGCAACTATGGAGATGCACAGCTGGCTCTTTATCGTAAGTATTGCACACAATAGTAGAACCAATTCCGAGGGATATGAGAAGATTCAAGTCGACTCATTTTATTTCAACTTAAGGCCCGGGTGGATTATCTTTCCAACGTTATCTCGATTATTTTTCCATCTTCATAATGTAAAATATATCACAATTTCCATTGGATTTTGCATCATGCAGGAGTCCCTAAAAATTAATTATGTTTGTACAATAAAAAAAATGGAAAAAACTGAACATTTTCAAAGAGCGATTTTCATCAAGATTGAGAAGGAAGTCCGATAGAGAGGAAATAATGAATGGATAATTTATCATGCACGGAGAGGAATGTTCAGTAAAAATTACGGAACAATTCACGTAATCCGCAATGTGGAATTGTTTTCCGGCATTTTTTATAGAAATGGAAGAGAAGAAATCTGAAGCGGTCAGTGAATTTTCAGGTTCGTCACCGAACCAAGTACGAAATTGTTACGTAATTTTTCCCGAATAAGTAAAATCAATACAGAGACTTGCCGACTTATTGTGCCTCCAAAATAAAAAATTCCTGAACGTTCAACAATTTTTATGAAGCTGCTGAGTTACTTCTACGTTCCGTTCTGTAAAATTTCTCAATCGTTGGGAAAAAATTACGGAATGACTTGTTGTCCCCACAGCGGTGAGTCATCAGACGGGTGGTTAATTTTTACGGAACAAATCGTAGAATTTACGTGGCGATTCGTACAATTACAGTTCAGACACATTTTTTATTGAATTTTACTTCGTTCGCGGATTACGTTTCGAAACGTAATTTCTACGTTTTTTTTCTGGTAATTTTTATTGAATTTTTCTCTCTGCCTGGTAACTAATGATCTGACAGCCATTGACTACTGCGACCCATGACGACCTAACAGCCATTAGATACATCTAATTATTGATTTGCAATTTCCTCCCTATTGGGTTTATTTCCCAATATTATTCAAAAACGCTCTTTGAAAATGCTCAGCTTTTTTTCATCGTTTTTTTGATTGTACAATCATAATTTTTGGAAACTCCTGGGCTACGTAAAATTGGATAACAATTGGAGATCGTTTCACATTATCAAAATGAAAAAAACAACGAAGATCACGTTCGACAGATAATCCACTCGGGCCTTAACTCGGTGAATTGATTGATGTCGATGAGCATTGTGTCAAATAGGAATGGCAGGATCCCTTCTTGACTTGGGATCCGGAGGAGCATGACGGAATCAAAGATTTGCACGTTAGAAGCAGGGAGGTGTGGATACCGGAGGTGTACTCGATAAATCCGTGAGCATTCTCAATTCGTTCATAAGTATATTCCAACATGAATTGACCCTCATCTGTGGACTTGATCGAGAAACTCATCGATTCGATTTTGAATAACAGAAGCTATGGTGACATGTCGGGAATTCCAGAGACGTCATGCAGACTCACGGACACTGGCCATCTGGGCTGTATTCCATCAATTCAGTACGACGTACCCTGTGTCCCTGATTACACTCACTGGCCCTGGGACGTTCACAACTGCACTCTAAAGCTGGGTGCATGGGCCTACTCCGATGAGGAAATATCCTTCAAAAGGGGAAATGGCATTGTCATGAATCTTTATCGAGACACTGAGGACTGGAAGATGTCTTTCCCTGTGGTAGGAATAAGGCGAGAAAAATCCAAGTTATCCAGCAATGCTACTTTTCCTATTTTCATGGTGTCGGTTCTGCTGACGAGAACACAAACAGCGTTGAAGAGTGTTTTCGTCTCTCCAGTGATAAGTAACCATTCATTCTCTCTTTTTGGCCTCTCCTTTTGCTCCTGAGTAGGTGCGAAACGATTTGTCAATGTACTTTATTCAAGAGGAAATTATTTTTTATTCAGTCTTGACTGTGGTGACTCTGACTATCCTGTGGCTGAGACCAGGATCCACTGAACGTCTCATGTTATCCTGTTTTAACCTCTTGGGCCATCTGATGGTCATTCGGCATATTCACTATAGGGTTCCTAATACTGGAAATGATGTCCCCAATATCCGTGAGTTTACACAGAGAAAGGTGAGGTAAAGTGAACCTCCTTGAATCATCAATTTCTCTCGTTTTGAAGCCTGAAAAAATACCTGCAAAATGGGTAAAGAAATTGTTGAATTTCACTCTGCCGATCTCGAGTCATTGATGATTACAAACGGTCCATTTTACCCCTCTCCCATCTATGTAGGAATCTCTTAAATTTCCCCTACGAATTTTTCAATCGCTTGATTTATGGAATTTTTAGTGATCTTCTACAACAACTCCCTCATCCTCTCGTCGTTGGTATTGATATTAAGCTGCTGGCTCCAGAAACTCCTAGAGTGGAAACGGGAAGTGCCCGTGTGGCTGGCCTCACAAGTCTCAGTCGTCCTCACGAGTAAAGTCGGACAAGTACTGTCGATCAATGCCATGGATCCTAAAGGATCGGCGTTACTCGAAGATGATGCTGATGACAACAGTGGTCTAGTGGATTCTCAACCGAAGAAATCCAACTGGGAGAATGTTGTTACTGTTATTGGATGGCTCTTACTGTTCAGCTTTGGTTTTATTTATTTCGTTATGTCTCTCGCTCTACTTTCTTAAGGACTTACCGAAAGTTCTAATTAAAGAGAATTAATCACCGCTATCCTCTCCAGAACAAATCAGTAGCGAAGTGGTAAAACGGTTCAAGTCAATTTTGACTATTCGCCAGTTTTCAATGAATATCTCGGAATCTAAGGGAGATAGAAAATTTTTTGTTAAAACCTTTTTTCTAGAGCGGATTGAGAGCTACAACAAATGCAATTACGAAAATTTCGCCATCTTCCTTACATTCGGAGATATTCCTCAAAAACTCAACTGGGATATGAGTCGGCTTGAACTGTTTTACAACTTCGCGACTGAAATGGACTGCATTTGTCATTCGGAATCCGTTAGAGAGCTGCACACATTTTTAAAATTCCATCCATTCGCCATTGATATCCAGTTGTGATGAATACCAGAAATAATGATAGGAAATCATTCACGAATTACTTAGTCGATTGATAACCATTTGATTGATGAATTGAGATAACAGTAGATGGAAAAAAATTGAAAGGGGCGTCAATTGCCTAAACAGCCAAAATCTCAAATTTCGTGCGAGGGGCGTTTGATGTGGTCTCGGACCACCTATGATCTCATCAGTTGTCTATTCGTAGTTAACTAGTTAACATGATGAACACATTAAGGCTGATTGCCCTCGTAGTAATTTATGTCAGTGAATTTGCATCCACCGATGACGATTTTCCCGAATTACACTGCAAACTCATTGAGAATGGAACTCCCCTTTACAAACTCAAAAGGCACCTCTTCTGCGATTATGATCCTGGAATCAGGCCTAGATATGGCGCCAAAAATACGACTGTTGTCCACGCGCTGATCGTCCCGGAAAACTTCAAATTCGTATGTATACTAAATCATTCTCCCGTGATCTTCCGAGTTTTTCTCATTTATTAAACTTACCAATCTGTAGAACATGCACCGGGGTAGTATGGAGATGAACAGCCATACCTATGTCGTAAGTGTTTTACGCAAACCTGAAAACAATTCTTGGAAATCGAGATAATTAAAGTCGTCTCATTTCATTTTCTCTTCACGTGTGAAAAAATCGTATAGAAATTTTCTATATGGATTGCGTATAGAAATTCCGCAGGATTTCCGTATATGATATTCGGATATTTATACACAGAGAGAAAAATTTAATAAAGAGAAAAAGAAAAAGAAAAATTCAATTACTTCGCGAGCGAAATAAAATTGAATAAAAAGGGGAGTCGGAACTGTAACTGTACGAATCGCCACGTAAATTCTACGATTTGCTCCGTAAAAATTAATCATCCGTCCGATGACTCACCGCTGCGGTGATAACAAGTCGTTCCGTAATTTTTCCCCAACGATTGAGAAATCAACGGAACGAAACGTAGAAATAACTCACCAGCTTCATAAAAATTGTTAAACTGTTGATTGTTGTTGAATTGTTGATTTTTGATTTTGAAGGCACAATAAATCGGCAAGTTTCTGTAAGACTTTACTTCTTCGGAAAAAATTGCATGACAATTTCGTACTTTGTTCGATGATGAACCTGAAAATTCACTGAACGTTTCAGATTTCTTCTCTTCCATTCCTATAAAAATTGCCGGAAAACGATTCCCCATTGCGATTTACGTGAATTGTTCCGTAATTTTTACTGAATATTTCTCTCCGTGTATACGAATTATTTCTATACATAAATTTTGACACAAATTTTTGTTGTTATTCGAAAGATGTCTAAACGCTCCAGAGAACAACGTAGAGAAATGTCCCAACTCCATCCGAAATATTTCTATACATGTGGCAGCGGGTTATATAGGATCAAACCTATAGAAATCGTATAAACAATTTGTATAAAAATATCCGTGCAGAAATATCTGAATATCATGTACGAAAATCCTATGGAAATTCTGTACGCAATCCGTATAGAAAATTTCTGTACGATTTTTTCCTACGTGTTCCCTCGCGGAATCGATTTATATTGATACGCCGTGTTGGACAGGGATGGGAGGATCCCTTCTTGACTTGGAATCCAAAAGAGCATGATGATATAAAAATGATAGTTGTCAGGAGAAGTGAAATCTGGATACCGGAGTTGTACTCGCTAAATCCGTGAGTATTTATAATTCAGTCATAAGGCTTTCAGCATGAAGTGACATTAACCAACGCCCCGAGAAAACATTATTTTCCCCAAGTATTTATTATCATTTACTTGAGAGAAGTATTTATTTTTTCAAAATCATATTTCTCCAGTCGAGTTATTTTCAGGCAGGCCTGATCAGGTTTCAATTGTGACAATCTGACAATCACGTTGCTCTAGAGGACGACTATGTGCACATGATCTTGGACGAACTCCTTCAATGATTATTAATTTTCCCTAAATTTCTTATTGTCTAGATGAAAGAACTTCGATTAATTTTTTAATTTAATTTAATTTTATTTTAATTTAATTCAATTTTTTTAATGTTGATAATTATTAAGAGAGTTCACTCAAGGTCATAACTGGCATAATCATCTCCTAGAGCAATATAATTGTCATAATTGAAACCTAATGAGGATTGCCTGGTACTGACTCGACCGGAGAAATGTGATATTGAAAAAGAATGATAAATATTTCTCTCAAGTAAATTCATATTTGGCAAAAATAATTTTCTTTCTCACTCTGACACATTCATCAATTGGACTTTGAATGACAGAAGCGATGGGGACATGTCCGGAATCCCGGACACCCAATGCCAACTGTGGAACGACGGCTACATTTCCTGCAGTGCAACAATTCAGTACACGGTACCCTGTGTTTCCGATTACACTCACTGGCCCTGGGATGTTCACAACTGCAGCTTGCAGATGGGCGCGTCGGCCTACACCGGTGAGGACATATCGTTCAGCCACGAGACTGGCGTTGCCATGAAACGCCACGACGAAACTGAGGAGTGGAAGATCACTCGTCTCGGGAGGGGGCGAACGAGAGAAAAATCTAAATTGTCTGGAAATGCCACTTTTCCGATGTTCACGGTGTCGGTTCTGTTGCGCAGGACTCAAACAGCTTTGAAGAGCGTTTATTTCTCTCCGGTGATAAGTAACCATTCGTTTTCTCTCTTTTGTCTCGATTTTTGCTTCTCAGTGAACAGAGGGAGCAGAGCCATTGGTGAATGCACTTTATTCAAGAGAAAATTATTTTTTATTCAGTCCTCACTGTGGTGACTCTGACTGTCCTCTGGCTGAGACCAGGCTCCACTGAACGTCTCATGTTATCCTGTTTCAATCTCTTGGGCCATGTGATAATCATTCGACATCTTCACTATAGCGTTCCCAATACTGGAAATGATGTCCCCAATATCCGTGAGTTTGCGTAGGGAAAAGGGAGGTACACGGAGAGAAATATTCAATAAAAATTACCAGAAAAAAGACGTAAAAATTACGTTTCGAAACGTACTCTGGGAGCGAAGTAAAATTCAATAAAAAGTGTCAATCCTCACGTAAATTCTACGATCTGTTCCGTAAAAATGACTCATCCGTCCGACACACAATAAGTCGGCAAGTTTCTGTAAGATTTTACTTCTTCGGGAAAAATTACGTGACAATTTCGTACTTTGTTCGGTGATGAACCTGAGAATTCACTGAACGTTTCAGATTTGTTCTCTTCCATTCCTGTAAAAATAGCCGGAAAACGATTCCCCATTGCGGATTACGTGAATTGTTCCGTAATTTTTACTGAATAATTCTCTCCGCGTAGGAATCTCTTCAATTTCCCCTACGAATTTTTCAATCCCTTGATTTATGGAATTTTTAGTGATCTTCTACAACAACTCCCTCATCCTCTCGTCGTTGGTATTGATGTTAACCTGCTGGCTCCAGAAACTCCTAGAGTGGAAACGGGAAGTGCCCGCGTGGCTGGCCTCACAAGTCTCAGTCGTCCTCACGAGTAAAATTGGACAAGTACTGTCGATCAATATCATGGATACTAAAGGATCGGCATTACTCCAAGATGATGATGATGACAACAGTGGTCTAGTGGACTCTCAATCGAACAACTTCAACTGGGAGAATGTTGTTACCGTCATTGGGTGGCTCTTACTCTTCAGTTTTGGTTTCATTTATTTTGTTATGTCCCTCACTCTACTTTATTGAGCATTTACCAAAATTTATAATTATACAGAATTATTCACAGGCATCGTCCATTTTTTATTCGGAATCGTAGAGGTCTGCACGTAATTTTTTTTATAATCTGCAAATCACGTGAATCGAAGAAATGAAAAGGAAACAAAACATGAGGAATTTAATAAAATGGGCTGGAAAATATTCCTCAGGCCATCCTGAATCTTGTTGCCCCTTAAAATGATATCACAGAATAATATTACACGCGTATTTCTTCATCTTTAGTAATGGAAATTCATCAAAACGGAGTTTATTTCCAATTCGTTATGCTTCGCATAAACTTCTTCTTTTCAATAACAAAATATATGAAAAAAAGTGTACAATATCCAAATTGGTTCCACAAAATTAGCGGATACAAGAGATCGTTGACATTCAGTGGGCGTCGAATGCATCCAATATATTTAAAGAATATCAAATTTCCGAGGGGCGTTCGATAAGTTTCGTCAAGCCTCAGTTTCCTCGTCAGTGTCGTGTCCTCAGTGGATTAGTCAACATGATGAAACTGTTCAAGTTAATCGCACTCTTAACAATCTACCTCAGTAGATTAGCCTCCGCAGACGAGCCCGACACCTTCTGCAAGGTCATCGAGGACACCTCCCCGGAGTATCAGTTGAAGAGACACTTGTTCTGTGATTACGATTCCAATATCAGGCCCGCACTTCAAGGAAACAAAACTGAGTTCAAGATGATCTTGCGACTGGTGTTCGCAGATTATGTAAGAAATTTTGTCGATCAAGCGCTTTCCTCACTATAAGAATTCTGGCAGATTATAATTCTATTTGTTTTTTGCGTCAATTATATTGAAAATTATTCAACTTTACCATTACATTTTCAAAGAGATATTTTGATTGAAAAAATTCAATATATTTTGATGGGCATAAATTTTCGAAGTTTTTCCACTGCATTTGTATTTTATTCTCATGGTAAAATTCAAGGAAAAAACCAGGAAAATTCATGCCCAAGAATTCTTTGAGAAAAAATGCCGACAGAATGAGTTACATAAAAAATCAACATTTATAGATTTTTTCTATAAAAATAAATATATTTAAAAACGTACGGGAGAATTGCAGTGCTCGATCAATTTCGCGCACAAGCAAATAGGATTTTCAATAAAATTGTTACAGAGTTCAATAGAATTTATTGGAGAAAGCGCCAGATTTTTTCATTAAAATTTTCTATACGAACTTTTCGATAGGACGAAGAAAGGGCTGAATTAGAATTACATATTCGGCTGCATATCGTGAGTATCTTTCAAGATTTTTCTGTCCTTAATCTCCTGAGAAACAAAATATAACTGTTTACTCACTAATAGATCTGGACTGACTCATTTCTCACGTGGAAACCGAGTGACTTCGATGGGATAGAATCCATGAGAGTGAAGACAAGTGAAATATGGAAACCCGAGATATATTCGTTGAATCCGTGAGCATGCAAAACAGAATCGGCTTTTGATTAGTAATCATTTAAAAATTCATTGAATTAGGTCTTCAATTCAAAATAATCCATAAATTATTCATAACAGTAGCAAATCTTAATCATTATAATCATTACAATTGATGTGAATGTCAACGAATTGATTTCTCTTCTATAAAAAAAAATAGAAAAGATGCGGAAATGTCGGCAATCCCCGATTCATTCTGCGCATTGAACAACGACGGAAAAGTCAGTTGTAGACCGGCCAGAGTCTTCGTCGCCCCCTGCGAGTCTAATTACACGCACTGGCCTTATGATACTCACAGGTGCACTATAAAGATCGGTGCGCCAACGTACACCAGTAATGAAGTATCCGCGGGAAAGGGAAAGTCCGGGATTTTCGTCAGACACTACAATAGCCACCCGCAGTGGAGAATCTCCATTGGAGATGTCAGACACAGCACAACTAGATCGAAGATATCTAAGGGGAATACTTTCGAGAATATTGGGGTGTCGTTCCTGCTGAACAGACCGTACACGTCGCTCAAGGGCGTCATGATTTCTCCAGCGATAAGTAATTCGCTTGGGTTTGTTCAAGTATTCAATTGGAATTGCTGCATTCGATTTGAATATTCGCTATTTTTTGAGTCAATTTTGAAAGCATTACGTCTGCGCAGTTTTGTCTGCGGTGTAAGAAATTGTTGACTGAAATTTTCGATTCACTTCTTGGAAATTTTTATCAAAAAACAGTTACCCTGAAATATTAAGGAAGTTTCGTAATTGGAAATTCACAATTCGATGATGAGATTGATGAAATCTGTGAATTTGTGTTCAATTATTTAATGGAAATTGATAGATATCAGGGAAATTCAAGTGAATTGGGGAATTCTTTGAAATTTTTGATGAAATTCAGTAGCGAAGTGGTAAATCGGTATAAGCCAATTTTGACTATTGACCAGTTTTCAATAAATATCTCGGAATCTAAGGGAGATGGCCACATTTTTATGGCCGGGACTATTCGCACCATTGCGTGAATCACTCCCGTACACTCCATACACTCCACGCATGCGTGAAGTTTGTGTGTTTCACGCAGCCGAATTTTCATACTGCTGTGTATTTCACGCAGTTGAAGTTTCATACTACTGTGTGTTTCACGCAGTTGAAGTTT